TACCACATAGGGCAAGTCATACACAATACCACATAGGGCAAATCATACACAATACCACATAGGGCAAGTCATACACCGATCGTATACGTAATCAGAAGATTCACACATTTTCTATTATCATATACCATTAATAACTTCTCCTTACCTTGGTACGTGTCGGGGTTGGTTGTGGGTAACTTTGCACATTCCTTCGCTACCTCCTCCAACCTTAGGATCTTTCATTATCCCCATCACATAACGATAATGTCAGTCATTTATTTCCAAATATCACATAAACAATTTATATTACATCACTCAACCATACAAGATATTCATCATATTTTCAATGTTTATAAACTACTTTCATCATAAATTTATAACCATCTAAAACATTCATATCCTTTCATATTTTAACATTGTAACTCAACTCATCTTCTACCTCTAGTATTTTACCCATCTTTCCTCTCCAACCTCATTTTCTCTCTCTAGGGTTTTGGGTTTTCATGAGTCAACTCACAAACCCCTTTCCATTCTTGGAACACTAACTTAAAACTAAGAGTTTACAAGGTAAGAATAACATAAAATGAACCATCGCCCAAAAGGATGAGTTTCCATGGTTTTCTTCATTTTTGAGAAGAGATCCAACATACCCCAAAGTGAGTTTAAGAGAGAAAAAGAGAGATAAAATCTAGAGTTTTACCTCTTCTCAAGCTCTTAGATGAGTATCCAAGCTTTTTGCCCTTGAAAAGCTCTCTTCTCTCACTCTTCTTCTTTTCTAAACCCTAGATTGTGTTTAGGGGTTTCTTATTAAATTCTGTCTCGTTGGGTTCTCGCTTAAGTGAGGGATTCTCGCTCAAGCGAGAAAATCCCGCCCATTTTAAAAACTCAAATCTGACCCTTTCGCTCAAGCGAGGGATTCTCGCTCAAGCGAGAATCTCACAGTGGCAACAGCCCCAAAATGACATTTCTCGCCCAGGCGAGACATCTCTCGCTCAGGCGAGAATCCTCCAATATAGCCCAGGATTTCACCCTCCCAGGTGAACCTCTCTCGCTCAAGCGAGAATCTCTCGCTCAAGCGAGGATCCGAGGACTGATACTATAATTTTAAAGACTTAAAATTTGGGGTGTTATAGTAAGTCTACATCACAAAGATGTCCCACTATCACTTCGGGTAGGTCTACACCACAAAGGTGGCCCATTACCACATCGGGTAAGTTTACATCACAAAGATGTCCCATTACCACTTCGGGTAGGTTTACACCACAAAGGTGGCCCATTATCACATCGGGTAAGTCTACATCACAAAGATGTCCCACTACCACTTCGGGTAGGTATACACCACAAAGGCGGCCCATTATACATTTCTTATAAACATGTTAATTCATACACATACCATGTTCACATCATCTCATTCTTACTACATATAAACATCTCACAACACAATCATTATCGTACAACATAATCATGTCCATTTATTTCCATTAAACAGCTCATCACACAATCATTATTACAAACATACCCATATATGTTTAAAACAAATAAGCGACTCACAACGTAGTCATTATCAAAAATATATTCATATCATTTTATCACAATAAACACCTCATAACGTATTTATCATCATACAACATATTAACGATAGAAACATTTCCCATGACGATGTATTACCATAAATGAGCATATTACATTTTATCTAATAAAACGGTTTTTACCAATCATATATCTCTACATTTATGGCTAATACCTCTTCATGGAAAATAAAGACTCTAACAAGGACCACAAACTTCCAAGAGAGTTTCTATCCGTTAATATTCTCCGATTCTTGAGGGAAATCAGAGAAGATGACTCTAATGAAATACTCTATGACCACAATGGTTTTCTCCCTCACCTTAGGTAGCGCAAGCTCCGCTGCTCCGCAAAAGAGCCACATCTCCCTTCATCTCCTTCAATCTCCAATGTTCAATTTTCACCGCCAAAGCCCTCTAATGAGTTTTGAGGTTTAGAGGAGGGGAGAATGATTCATTTGGGTGGAGCCATTGTTGGGAGAGAAAGGGAAGAAAAGAAAATGAAGATTAGGGTTTGTGAAACCCTTTCGTTACTTTTATAGCTGGGTTGTCTCGCCCGGGCGAGAATGTCTCGCTCGGGCGAGAAGCCCACGATATTTTAAATTTCAAAACACGGACCTTCTCGCCTGGGCGAGATTCTCTCGCTCAAGCGAGAATCTCACAGCCTGCTTAGGCTTCTCTCGCTCAAGCGACCAATTCCTCGCTTAGGCGAGGTTCCCAGAATTTCCAAATTTTAAACACTGAGTCTCTCGCTTGGGCGAGATTCCCCTCGCTTGGGCGAGACCCTCTCGCTTGGGCGAGATTCCCCTCGCCTGGGCGAGAATTAATCAATATGCACCCCAACACTCCAAGTTTTCTAATTATTCTGAAAAGGAAATTTGAGGTGTTACATCAAGGTAAAAAAGTATACAAAACCAGAAAAATAATTGTCAACAAGATATTGGTTTTCCATCATCAAAAAGAGGGAGATTGTGAAGAAGATATTGCTCTTAACCTTGACTAGATTTTGATGATGACACCAACATTAACAAAAATAAGAAAAAGAATAATGATTATTAAAATTCATTACATAAATGAAATTTCTTATGACTTGCAAGATATATTGACATAGCCTTCGGTGGATAGAAGATGAACCAAGATACATTGGTGTTATCTTTTTTCCCTCACTCTTGTATATTCTTCACTTGATTTTTGCTAACTTAGTTTTTTGTTGCTTATCTGATTATTACATTTTCACAAGTAGCAAAAATCTACACAAAGTTGTAGAAAAACTAAAAAACTAATTCACCACCTCTTAGTTTGCTATATGAGTTTACATAAATACCCCTATTATTAAAACCTATTGCAACTAAAGTATATAGTTTATTTTTGTCCAAAGGTCTTGATGAATAATGCTAACCTACTTCTTCTAAGATTCTACTTTACCTAGGTTAGAAAATTTCTAAAATATAATGAGTTAATGTGCAATAAAATGTATTCCTTTATTGGGATTTTTCATATCCGTGATGGTTTGAAATATCATAGTTTGAAAGTCTTCAAAATAGTATTACTGAAGTTTTTATCTCCCATGTTTGAGGTTTCTGACATTTCTAGGTGGGATGTCTTTAAAGTTTAAGTTTGGACCATGTTGAAGATTTATTGCCATGTGGTCATAACACTTCACATTATATAAATTACTTAAGATATTTTAATTAAGTATAATGATCTTGTAGAATTTGTTCTGCCCTCTTAGTTTAGTTCCTAATGTCTGGGTAAAATAATGTTATTTATTTATGTATAACAATATCTTAAAAGATATTCTTATTTATTATTTAACATAATTCAAATAAATATTTAGTTTTTACCATTTCATAATGTATACTTTTTTTGTATTACCAAGAGTATCTCATCTCCTTATAGGTAATGAATTATTCCATTTCAGGATCCGCGACTCCCCTTCCCAATATGTGTCACTCCCACGAATTTAACTCTTGACTTTTTGGTCATTTTGGAGATCTAGTGGAGACTTACACCACTAAACCAACACCTTATTAGTTTTCACAAATGTATACTTTGATACTCAAAATTAGGGTGTTACAAATATCATATTTAAAAATAACATGTCCTCACATTGCCTCTTGGATTTGCTCTTATTAATACATCTAAAACCAAGAAAAACATAAGAGCTCAAAAATGACACTTGAGTCTTAACCTCATCAAACATTTCATTGATTGCACATTCATAGCTAATAAAAACTCCTTACTCCTTGCTTTCCATAATACCTTTGAGAAAAATCATATTCTCTACTCCAATGAATTTTTTTTACTTAGTTATTATTATTACTAGCGTGTAGCCCGATACTCAATGCCTCTCGACCCACATTTTCTCCTGATATAAAGTGTATCATCTTCATGTTATATTTTTTAAGAAACATAATTTAAATATAAGAAATGCAATATAGAAATGATAAAATTAAACCTACGATATTTAAGAGAGAAGACATAAGTAAGAGAATGTATGGAAGAGTAATGATGTATTGATGAAAAAGAGTGAAAGCAATGTGGGGAAGTTTAGTAGTTATTAATAAGAATGTTCAAAAAGGATAAATTTTAAATATGAAAATTATGTCATGGTTTGTTAACAATTGTTTTGGCTTTATTAATAACTAGTGCGTTGATAGACACTCCTTTGCTTGTCAATCAGCTTTCCAATTATTTGTAATATGTAGTTTACATAGTATAAATTGCAAATATAGTAATTTGTGTTAAATATTATAATTTACAGTTAAATATATTCAATTGTGATAATTGTTTAATCTTATTTTTAAATAAAATAGTACATTCAATTAAATCACTCACTATAGGTGAAATGTATAATTAGGACGTAATCATGTTATCATTTTTCTATAATAACATGTGTAAATGTATAATGTTAATTTAAGCTGAGAAATATGATTAATATATTGATAGTAATTACTTAAGATTATACAATTTTTTATAAAAATTAAAAAAATGTTAAAATCAAAACAAGGAAATCAAAATTACTCCATTGTTATATATACACCATGTTTTGCGGGAATGAAACTCTTCTTTATTAATGGAGAGATAAGTTGTATACGTAACTGTGTTAAATTATGCACACAATTACTAGTAACTGTGTTCATTAATTATGACAACAATTAATTAACATTTAATCATTCTATTTAACCGTGAAACATAATATCATAATAGCATTATCCAAGTATACATGAAAATAGTATGAAGAAATTATTCAAACCATTCACCAAAAGAAATGCATAAACCAAAATTCTAAAATAGATCTGACATGTATTCTTCAGAAGTATCAAGCACTATACTATTTGAACATTCATTCCACAATACTCAATTGCATGCAAATTAGCCTACAGTATCTGTTTGAAGTATTCCAATTGGAATAGTAAAATACAATATCAAATTTCTTAGGTTATTTGAAGGGCAAGCGTTTATAATCTAACGGTTATGATAATTGCATTTCAAGCAATAGACCCATGTTCAACTCCCGGCAAACTCAAATTAGTTTGTCTTTTCAAATTAGTTTACATGTTATAAATGTCAAATATTGTAATTAATAGTTGAGTTTTTTCGATTGAAGTAATTGTTAATTTTTTAAATTGACCATTAAAATAATTGAGTCACTCGCTATTATTTTTGTAGGTGAAATGCACAATTAGGACATAATCATTTAAATAAATTTATCATGTTTAGAACGTAATATGTAAGATTGTCATGAAATGTTTGTCAATTGCATTCTTACTTTTGTAATAGTGATTGCACAAATTAATATGTGGTAGACTGATTAATGAGTTTTCTTTAATAAGATGAAATTGAGAAACAGTTATATTTTTTGACTATTGTTATTAAATATTGTAGTCACAATGTCCCATTATAGTGAATGCTAAAATTTACATAAATTTTTGGGGAAAATATAAGAGGTAACTTGGGTGATGTAATGAATTTTTTTTACAGTGTGTACATGATTTATAATTGAATTACAAAAAAGTAGAAAGATAAGGTAAATAATAAAATAAAAATTTATTCTGAAAGTAACGATGATATTATTTGTGACACTATACCTTATGAAGAAACAACTTTGTGACTAAAAAAACAAACAGTGAAAAAATGACGACGTGGTGAACCTATGACTTTTAATCAGTGTTGTTTGGACCGGACCGGACCGGCCGGTCCAACCGGTCCAACTGTCACCCGCTTAAGTAAACGGTCTTATACATGTAGAAAACCGGAATTGGTTTCCAGCCGTTTTGGGCCGTGGAAAATCCGGTCCAACCGGGTTAGACCGGGTAAAACCGAAATAACCCGGTTGGTTAAACCGGCCGGGTTGGTAAAATTAAAAAAAAAAAAAATTGTAAAAAATGCACATATTTGATGCTTTTAACATGATGTAATCGATTACGAGTATATTGTAATCGATTACATCATGTAAAATGAACATGTCTGATTAGTTTATCAGCATGTAATCGATTACCAGGATTGTGTAATCGATTACACTACTTAAAAATGCAAATGATCTTAGTTTCATGCATGAGTTTTTCAAAGATCAGTATTATACATATTTTCTAATTATTATACATATTAATCTAACGTATATTCTAATTTGTAGGTATGGTTGAAGGACAAAATATTACTATTGATGGAGGGCTTAATTTAGACTCTTTTCCTCAAGAAGATGTAGATAGTTACACTCAAAGTACATCTTTAACCAACAATGTAAACTTAGGATCTAACCAAGACAATGATACATGGATGAATTAGAATGTTTACTCTCTAAATGAGATGTGTTTTGATTTATTGCTCTAATTGTGTAAGACTTAAACTTTGATGCACTTTTATTTTGATTTATTTGTAAGCTTTGTGCAAAGTTATTCACTTATTTTAATTAATTATATAATATATGTATATGTATATAATTATATATGATATTATATTGTCGTCCGGTCCGACCGGACGGCTTAACCGGTTAAACCGGTTAGAACCTATACAAGACCTCCTCCGGTTTGACGTCCGACTCGGGTTTCACAACATTGCTTTCAATAGATATGTGACTATTGAGAACCATTAGATTGTTTCTTACTATCATTCTCCAAAGTTACATGTATTTGACATATATTTTATAGTGACCAAAAGTTTAACCTCTTCAATAATAGCAAAATAGCAACATCTATTATGCACCAAACAGAAGCAACATCAATCTATAGTTAGAATAAGCTTTTGTGAACATGATTATCAACAACAAACTTGAAGAAAAAAGATAAGTTTGTAAGGTAGGTGAAAATGTTGTGCAAAATTTTTGAAGTTGATTTATGAAGAAAATCAAGCTAACATTCGTTTTTCAATGCCCATTGTTATCCTTCTACACAATAATGGATTAGAATCAGAGAGACGTTTTGAAAAACCAATTCAATACAACATTTCAACTTTTTATGTGCACGTGCCTTATTTTTGTGATTTGTTATGCCTTTTATCTTGACAATAGTTGAAGTTGTTAAATGTAAATCTAATCTTGTGATATGATATCCTTCTCCCTTATCCCTTACAACTTTACAATTTTAAGGGCTGTAAAATTAATACAATACAATTTAGTTTAAAATATAAAATAATAGTTAACTAACACCCCAGACTCATTCAAACATTTGTTGGACAATTGATGATATATGATCCTCTACTATCATGGGTGTGAAAACAAATAAGACTTTCCGGTGAGAACAAATTGAAACACAAAGAATACTTCCCCAAATACAGGGTCACATATATAACCCCAAATTTTTCTGGGAGGCTTTTCATTGCAACATTAATTTATCCTCTATTGAATTATTTAGTTTAATTAACAAAGCAATTGTATCAAACAAAACTAACCTTCACTATGCACTCCATCAATCTAATACCGTAAATACCTTGAACTTAAACACAGTAAATTTCATCACTGTTGTATCTTTAAAGTGTTCACTTCATGCTTCAACTCTCCAAGTATGAAAAATAGGTTCAGATTTTGATGAGTCCTTGAAATTCTTTTATGGGATAAGGAAAAAATGATTAGCTAATGGAAAAGAATGAAAGAGTGGTGCTGGATTAATGAAAGAGAATGAAAGTGGAATAGATATATTAGAAAAAACTCAGTAGAGATTTAAGAATAAGAAAGTAGAAATAATAAAATAATACCCAAACTTCATGAAAAGTTAAGTGAATAGAGATGATAAAAAATAAACATGTGGTTATTGTTGTATCCCACTCGTTTTTTGTCTCCATTCCTTGGTTTTTCTTCCCCGTGATGTGTTAGATCTGCCATCATAGGTTTAATAGTAGACAATGTATTGTTCATGGTGTCTCCATTCCCAAGGAAGGAGTGAAGAAAGAGGGAGAAGATAGAATGAAAGAGAATGCAGTTTAAAATGCATCACGTATTTAGAACCCTTTATTTCTCTATTCATGCTAATTTAGATAGAGTGGATATGAGAGAAAGGTTGAACAACTATTGTGGTAGTTTAAGACTAGTTACAAAGGGAATTAATGTACATTTTATAGCAGAATTTTACTGAATATACCTATTAACTTGTTATTGAGAAAGGGCCCCTAAGAGGGGTATTTATACAAAGGGAGTCAATGCCTTGAGAAGCAAGAAAGGCATAAAGAAGAAAAATAAACTTAACTAACTCTTAAGCTAACTAACTTTACGAATTTATCTAGAAGATTACAAATAAGCACATGTTTAAAATGTGTTAAATAAGCATATTAAACTCTAAAGCAGAACACTCAAGAATCCGTGGTAGTGTGCCAGCTGATGTGCCTGTCTGCTTGAGTCAGTGGCCTGCCTCAGTCACTTTGCCTCGGCGCGCCTTGCCAACCTCGGTCATTTGGTTCAGGCTTTCCTTGGTCGTCTCGGTCATTCTGCCTGGTCATGCTTCGCTTGTCTCGGTGATCCAACTTAGTCACGCCTGGTCTGTCTCGGTCATTATGCCTGGTCACATCTGGTATGTCTCGGTCATCTGACTTAGTCACGCTTGGCCTGTCTCGGTTATCTGGCTTAGTCACGCCTGACCTGTCTCGGTCATCTGGCTTAGTCACGCCTTGCCTGTCTCGGTCATCTGGCTTATTCACACCTTGCATGTCTCGGTCATCTGACTTAGTCACGCATGGTCTGGCTCGATCATTTGGCTTAGTCACGCCTGATCTGTGTCGGTCATGTGACTTAGGATTGGGCTGGTCCATGCTTAGCTTCAATACCACCCCACAAGCTGGAGGGTAGATATTGAACACTGTAACACCCTAAGGTAAGGGATAAGTGTCTTTAATTCATACTCACTGATGTGAACGAGGTATGTGAAAGAGTTAATGTGCTAGTAAGTTTATTGTTGTTACCCTACCCGAAGAGGTAGTGGTTTATTGTTGTTACACTACCCGAAGAGGTAGTGGTTTATTGTTGTTACCCTACCCGAAGAGGTAGTGGTTTATTGTTGATGTCCTACCCGAAGTGGTAGTGGACTGTTATTGTGTCCTACCCAGAGTGGTAGTGGACTGTTATTGTGTTCTACCCGGAATGGTAGCAGACTGTTATTGTGTCCTACCCTGAGTGGTAGTGGACTGTTATTGTGTCCTATCGAGAATGGTAGTGATTATTGTGAACTCGACCTGCCCGATGTGGTATGGGGTAATAACTCGACCTGCCCGATGTGGTATGGGGTAATAAATAATAACTCGACCTGCCCGATGTGGTATGAGGTAATAACTCGACCTACCCGATGTGGTATGGGGTAATAAATAATAAATAATAACTCGACCTGCCCGATGTGGTATGGGGTAATAACTCGACCTGCCCGATGTGGTATGGGGTAATAAATAATAACTCGACCTGCCCGATGTGGTATGGGGTAATAACTCGACCTGCCCGATGTGGTATGGGGTAATAAGTAATAACTCGACCTACCCGATGTGGTATGGGGTAATAACTGGACCTGCCCGATGTGGTATGGTGTAATAACTAGACCTGCCCGATGTGGTATGTGGTAATAACTCGACCTGCCCGATGTGGTATGGGAAATGAAATTGATGAATACGATTAAGGGTGAATATGAATGATGAGAAATGTGGATCTCACAATGAATGTTGTTTGCATGCTATAGGATATATAGTATGAGATATATATTCTATAGGGTGAATATGAATGATGAGAAGTGTGGATGTCACAATGAATGTCATATGCATGCTATAAAATATATATTATGGGATGTATATTCTATAGGGTGAATATGAATGACGAGAAATGAGAATGTCACAAAGAATGTCATATGCATGCTATAGGATATATAGTATGGGATATATATTCTATAGGGTGAATATGAGTGATAAAATGGAAGATGTTGAGAATGAAAGTAATATAAATGCTATAATATATATATTATGGGATATATATACTATAGGGTGGATATGAATAATGAGATTGATGATGTTTCGAACGAACGAAATATGCACACTATAGAATATATATATTATGGGATATATACTATA